GCACAGGAACAAATCGATCTGACAAAGCAAGCAGCAGGGGCATTTCTTTTCAGTTCATATTTTAATACTGGGCCAAAGCATTCCTCTGCCACCATGGAAAAGTTTGTGCACATCTGCATTTACAGATCCTAACAGGGACAACTTAGGAAAGAGCAGCATTTGAACCTGTAGCAAGAGAAAAGCAAGGAACAATAATTAAGATAATTATGTTAAGGTCTGGACTATGTAAAAGCTTTTCTGAACTGTCATTTACTGCTTCCACACCATGTCAGGGAAATCACAGAAACTGGTTTTAGAATTTCCCATTGTTTTACATTCCTGATAGATAGGGGCAACACTACATGGGCTCAATCAAGAACACAACTACCTGGCTTTGCAACCATTGCTTCATATCAAAAAGTGGTGTTAAAGTCCCAGGTTTTTCACCTGCACAGTTACTCAGTGGATCTTCAGGAGTTCCTGCTCTTCCCTTCCTTTTCCTTCAAGTTATTTCTCTAGTTGCTACCATCAAACTTGTGGTAAGATTTTAAGGTTAGGAAGCAAAATTACTGTTGCTGTCTCTGTTTTCACTCTTACATTAGAAGATCTCATACATCAACAGTAAGTTGTATGTCAAAGGCACAGCATGAGCTTTGGCTACACACTTGAGAGCTAGAGAAAGACTAAGAATAAAGAGTGCGCAGTTACAAGATCTACTATTCTGTATTGCTGTCTGCATCCTAAACTATTGCAGTGCAACCCATGAAAGAAAAATCACAAGCTATTAAATGACCGCCCCTTCTGCCATAAACAAAAGCCATTAGAAGACTTGGTGCGCCCTTCGAGGCTCTGTTAACTCAAAATTGTTTCACGTAAATAAGTATTTAGTAGCCTTAAAAACGTGGAAAACACTGCATTCCAAAATCACATCTAACACACAGAGCAAGATTCTTGTTAATTCTTAAGCATGTCTGCTATGAAACTGACACTCCCCCCATCTTATGCTGACCCCTTCTAGAAGGGATTAACACTTTCAAACGTTACCTGCAGTAATTACTCCCTTCTAAGCAATAACTCACAAATGCTATTTTAACCCCCAGTGGGGATTTCCTGGTTAAGTGAAACCAAGCAGTTTCCACTGTCCCAAGCGTTATCTGGGATTTAGAATGCTTCTCTAGTCTTTAATACACGGAACAAGAACACCTGTGAGAAGAGGCGCCACGTTTCAGGTATCAGTGGGAAGCAGGAGAAGGAGCTCTCTTTACCCTGATTTCCACGTTCCTCGTTTTCAAGTTAAACCTGATTTGAAGTTGCAAGTGCTCCACGATCGGCGTGTATATTTTCATCCAGTTCTCTTTTAACGGCGTGTACCTGTTGGCCGGCACGGGAACCTTCCGCATTTCGCCTTTTCCAACCTAGCGGGGAGAGAAGGCCGTGAAGCGAAGCAGGGCAAGGCCGAGGACAGGGCACCGCTCCACGTGCCCGAGGGCCGCCCGGCTGCCCCGGCCCCGCACAGGCC